TGATGTCAGCTCAGCATCTTGGTTATTGTGTTTTGACAGGTACAACTGTTAGCTGTGTTAACTAGAGACTTTGGGCTGTGATTGTTTCCATGGAGAGAAAACCAAAGCATCTCAGAAAACAGCCAAAAAATGTTTTATTTATGTGTTAATTCCTCCAATCCTTCTCTTTCAGTCAGATATTGGTATTGTGATGAAAATTAAAGAATCTGGAACACATTTTAACTAATAGAGGTGAAGGAGAGAAGGAAGTGTACAGAAGGATTGTGAGCAGCTTGGACTGAGGTGGTAGAATGGACAGCTTCTAAAGATGTGCAGACTGGTAAATACATCTTCTAGAGAAGTGTGATGTATGCACCAGAAAGGGACTTCCTATGAGAAAGAAAATGCCCCTAGATGCACCTTATTCCCAAGATGGCAGATGAACAAATGCTGTCACTCTTACTGACTGGGCAAGTGGTAGTTTGATGGTACTTAACACGGAACAAACACTCATTTTGTGTTTGCAATGAGTCTGGTGACTGCTGTGCAAGGGGACTGGTGGCAGGGCAGTGGTGGGCTCTAGTACATTTACGGTTAGGCAGCTGCTGTATGCACTGGCAGATAAGCACAGTGGTTATTCTGTTACTTCTCAGAGCTTCCTGTTGCTTGCAGCCTGAATGGAATATTTCTCTGGCAGCCAGAGGAGGCTGTCCTGCTGCCTGCAAGGCGTCTTTGTGCTGGGGTGCAGAACTTACCTTTTCTGAAGTTGCTTGCGCCGCTTTGCTCACACAAAAAGTTGACTGCTCAAATGTGAATTGGTAGAGTCCCTAAGAGCCTTTTAGTACAATGCTCTGCTGACTTGACTATGCTTTTTTTTTTCATCAATCACACAATATAGTTTAAAAGGCTCTTCACAGAGCTTTTTCTTTCTGAAGCCACTTTAAGGTCAGTGGTGCAGCGGTAAGTGTGCTGAACATTTATGTAGCTGTAGTGTAGATAATCTATTCCAGCAGACAGGCATTTTACACTCCTGAGTTTTTCCCAGCCTTAGCAAGTAAACATACAGGCTTAGCTGCAGTAAGATTAATTTACTTTTGTAGGCTTAATCTATGGCATAGACTAATCTAGATGTGATCCTATTACTGCAAGGTCAGGCGGGACTGTAGTTTTTGATAGTCCTGCTTTGCTCTTTCGACTCCTGCATGTGTGTTTTGGAGCAGTCTTTATTGGTGTCTGAGACTTTATTGTCCAGAGAGAGATATCTAACTCATGTGATCCCCACTGAAAAATGTTAGGAGATTGCCTGTGAAAGTGACAAAAAGTCCTTGCCCTGTTATGTATCCCCTTTTCACTTGCTGAAATTTAGGAAGTAGCAAAGAAAATCCACCATCATCTGTCAGATTTGTGGAGATGGATGTGACATGAGTTGGTCAGCTGGAATGTGTTACTATAACAAATGTTCCTAGCAGGAATGGAGAACCTGTAACTGATAGAGGTAGGAATTCTCTGAGGACAACTAGGGACGAGCAACACACTGAGAGGTGCTAAGCTCTGCCAGATGAGACCGTCTAGGAGATGCTGATTCATTGCACACTGCTGTATGCCAGATTAGAGATGTGTTTCCTGACTGCATCAGCAGTGATAGATAAATTAAACACAGAGAATTTTAAGTGCTAGAGTTATAATGCAGAGAAGGGGCATCAATGCTGTTATATTTGTGTTTCTCCACCTTTGTTTTTTCTTAGTTCTGGTGCTGTGTCAACTCTGAAATGAGATGTTTGGTTTGCATAGGCAACCCTTTTGAATGAACACCCTTGGAAGTTCAGCTGAGGTTCCCCTTTCTCTTTTGGGAAGTTTCTTTAGTGTTGCCGAAGTATTTTTGAACATCTTGCAAAACTTTTGAACTCATTTCTGTGAAGAACTCTGAGCTTGTCAATACAGTGGAGAATGTTCATGTAAAAATGCAGGGACTGTTTGCTCAAGCACTTAGCAAACAGAAATCATGCTTGCATCTGTCCAAGGACTCCAAATGATTTTACAGGGATCAGGGAATTAGGATTCTTTGCATAGGTTTATATGATTGCTTCTTTTTTTCAAATAGAGAAAGCAAGGTATTCAAGATACGGGGTGACTTGCACATAGTCCCATAGGAAATCAGGGTCAGGAAGATTCTGTCTGATTCTCAGTTCCTTTCTTTACTTCTAAACCTGTTCTACACTTCATGTTTATCTTGCAGCTAACTCATACTTCATATTGTCTTGTTCTTCTTGCATCAAAATATATGTGCACGTTTCTAGGTCTTCTGTAGGTTACAGTTACCATTATTACTAACTAGTCCAAATTCATGTATTTTATTTGCTTTTCTCTTTAAAAAAGCAGTTTTCACAATCAGAGCAACATGATTATGTACAGTACCAGTACGTTATGGTTTAGGAAATTAAATTGCTTTTCTTGAAGAGAGGTTTTTAACCTCTCCTGGACAATTAATTGCAAATCAGGATGGACATGTCAGATATTTGACAGTTCCCACATGCTAATATAATATCAAAGGAGTCTAATATTACACATTTTAATGCTTATATTTTTAAAGAAATGACAGCAAAACTATCAGAAAATTCTGTTCTCTCACTTCAAGAACGGTGCAGAATATCCACCAGATGGAGCTGGTGGTAGCAAAGAAAGCGTTACTGGTGAGTGAGCCCCAAATGCCAAATGATGGAGGTAAGAAGTATTTACTGTTGAAGATTACAAATGGAAATGGCACTAGTAACTATGTATTTGGAATTTCACAATGGAACTCAATGCTGTGAATAAGAGAACTGAGACATTAACAAAGCATCTAAGGCATATGTCCTTTCCCCTTTTCAGAACTGACAGTAATTCAGTTATCTTCCAACAAGAAGCAGGTGCTTCCTCTGTCTCAGGGATGATGGAGCACAATAGGAAGCCTTGTTCCCTCACTCACTATGTTGAATATGAGCAGAGTTCCAGTGCACTGCTGCTCATACCTTCTCTTTTTTCCCAAGCAGGGAGCGGCCTTTTGTCACCAGCTGTAGATGTTGTCTTGTGGTGGGAAGCAGAAACAAGCTGCTTTCTTCCAGAGTTACAGGTTCATTCTTTAAGTTCTGAGGTCAGTGGAGTTTTCTGGGCTGCTGTCTAGTGGTGCAGGTTCAAGACTTCAGTGCTTACTTGTCATTAAATTACTCATTTTATTTGCAATCTAGTTCTTCATCTCTCTCTTTTTCTTCACTATCCTTTCATATCCTTCATTATTAGCTAGGTAAGAGACATTGTTTCAGCCTTTTTTTCATTGCTGGTAAATACAGGAATGTATTTAACTAGCTTTGTTTGAGACCATAGTATTGTGTAGAAAAAAAAGTGGTGTACTGAATACTGAAATGATGTTTTTTTTTGCTCAGCTAAAATATAAAAAGGAAAGTAATTATTGTCATGAGATCCTATCCTCACTGAAATCTATGTGAAAACTCCCTTTTCTTTTAGGACTCTGAGGCTGAAACTGATTGCTGTCTATGTTTATATAGTACACCTTAAAGTCACCTGGCATGAATCTCAGTTTCACTGGGGGGGGGGGGGGGGAGGGGGGGAACCACCACTGGCAGTGTGGTTTTTTTTTTTTACTTCTGAAATCAGTCTTTTTGAATTTAGGATCTATGGTCACCCTGCTCACACCCACATAGCCTCCACAGCATCTCTTTGGTCTGCCCAGCACAACAGACTCTTGGTGCTCCCATCTCATTCCAGTTTGGTGTTGTTATAACAGGGCTAGCTTCATATAGTGTATTATACTTAGATTGTATTGCCTAGAACTTACTTTCCATTTTAAGAGTCAAGTGACTTGACCATTAAAAACCTAAACTTCAATATCTTTGGAAAGCAAGGAAGCATTCTCATCTCCAACAAATAAGGGAGCTGCTGAGGTACAGCAAAGATGAATTATTTATATCTCTGCTATGTAAAAAATATAAAAGACATCCTGGGTGACACATCACCTTCTTTTGTGGTTGGGTTTTTCTGTTTCCTTCCTCTGTGTGTCACGGATGACAGCGTGGATTACCAGGAGAAAACCAGCCACAGCTCTCAGCCTGGCTGGTCTGCACATTTCCTTAACCATTAACTGCACACATACTGGTAGTAGTGGATGAGCACTATTATCAAAGAGGAATTAGATAATGTCTTCCATGAAAAGGATAATGGAATCATACTTCATACATCACTATAATTTTCTTCTTGGGCTCTCTTTTTGTTTGGTTTGGTTTTTTGGTGGGGCTTTTTCATATGTATTACCCAGCTAACTAATAACAGAAATCCAACTCATCATTTTACAGATAAGAAACAGTATAACTGGTTAAAGGTTCAAGTATTGATAAGAAACTCACTAAATTTAATTGCTCAAGCTCAGACAGTTCCTGACCTAATTCTACAAAATGCTGAGCAAACAACCTCTCCTGTAATAGTGGATGGGAGCTGCCACATTTCTTCAATTCAGATTCTTGTTGCCTCAAATGACTTTTCAAAAACTGAAGCAGATAAAGGCTCATATCCAATGTATAAGACTATCTATTCAGGGGGCATTTATGAGGATCTAGACCATGGTTAATAGATCATTTTGAAAATTCAGGCCTCGATGGCATATTCTATGCCACATCCCACATATAGTAATGTACTTCACATGCAAATTGGCCTACTTATATAATTAGAGAGCTGGAGACATCTTACTTCTGTTCTCAACAAAGTGGAGCTGAAAACAGGACATTTCTACTTAATTTCACTTTAAAGCTGCTTTTTATTATTTGCAAGAGGAGAGAGGGGACAGACAGTTGCTAAATGACGAAGATTGTGGAATGGACAGACAAACAATGCTGAAGTACCACACAGTGACCTTTAAGTGTGGAATTGACTAAATGGAACTTCATTTCTATCAATGTCACCTGCCAGTTAAATGCTGTCTGAGTTTTGTTGTGTAAACTGTTACATTTTAATACAAATATGCTTTTCCCTAGGTTACTACAGCATTGCTTTGAGGATATGTAGTTTACAGAAAAAGAGGCCAACTTTCTTCACCCAGCAGTTCCCAGTAACCCCCAGAGTGCTGATTCTCATGGTAGGTAACCAGCACTGAGCAATATTCTGTCTGCACTTTGTTTCAGGGATAGAAAATTATCAAGAACTGGTGAAGTACATAATGGCTGTGATCTATAGCTGAGATAAAACAGTAATGTACTGCAGTGTGTAACTGGTGTGAACTGTCAAAGGGAACTGAAGACATAGTGCTCCCACCAGCAGTTCTGTTGTGCACAAGTTTTAAAGAAAGGTCCGTAAAAATGGTGTAAAATTCTCCCAATGCTCTTCATTATTTGAGTTGCAGCTATTAAGATGTAAGAAAGATGTCAAGCTCCGTATTGCAAAATCATAAGAGCTTTGATGGTTTTTTTGCACTTAAGAAATGTACTTTGCCTGAAAAAATATCGTACTACAAAACATTGTGATTTCAGAAATGTTTAAACCTCTTCAGAACTTAAAAATGGAAAACTTTGATATTTTTTATTTTCCCCTTGTCTTTAGGGACATAGAGCTTTGGAATATTTTGTTTGACTGTTCGATTTCTGTTCCCCCTGATAACTCCATAAGCTTGCCTATCTTCATTCATGTTAATAATAAGGCCAGAAATTGTAGTCCGGAATATAATGTGTAAACCCAGCTTTTTAATCTGCACCTAAATATCATCAACTGCCCAAAGAAGGAAAAGTGGTTTGGAAGCTGACTGGCACTTGTTGTAGTAGAGCTTGTGATAAAACCAGTTGTTTGATGTTTGTATAGTTTTTGACCCCCAGTGTCTGCCTGATCTTCTCCCTAGTTTGGTACTAAGTTACTGTACCCCCTACTGAGCGTTACCACTGCCTCTCTGCATTTATGTTATTAAGTGCTGTACTTGCTGTGATTAGATTCTCCCTTCCTTCTTCTACCCCTTCCTAGTTTTGTTTTTTACGTATTACAAATATTGGAATACGCCTTTTTGGAAAAGCATTTATACAGCACCAAGCACAATACCAGCAGCTCCTGTTCTTCGCCTAATTAATGAATACCCTTAATGCAAAGTAGGTTTTTTTAAGTTAAACGTGACTGTTCAAAATTTAATTGCTGTATCAGAAATGTGAAGGGACACAGATGTACTTTTTTAGAAAAAATAGTCTTTTAAGACATCCCATTTAAAAAAAAAGTGCTTTTAGTTTTTGTTTCATAATCCATTGTCTGTGTAAGAAACATTTAGTTTAATATTAAATGCAAAGTGAAAGAAGGTGTAATCCTGCATGCCTTTTCTACCAATGTCTGTGTACAGGTATAAGCCTCTCTTACCCATCTGTCCATGTAAACACAGTTCATCAGATTACATGCTGCTGCTTTCCATATTTACTCTGACTGCCGAAGTGGGTGGACACATTGGAGCTGACATGGAGGGCTGTGAATCAGAGCTTTAAATCTATCACTTTGTTTTTAAACTGACAGTAGACATCTCTGATTTGATGTCGTGGAACATCTCTGACCACAAACAGTGAGAGCTTTTTAGAAATCTTAAGTAAGAATTTTTAATTTTAAGTAAGAGCTTTTTAGAAATTTTAGATTTCCCATAGGCTGAATCAAATACAGCTGTCTTTAACCAAATTATTCACTTGTTTTAAAAACAAGTGTTTTGTGTCAAAGGACTTTTAAGCCACGGATCTTTCTATGACTGCAGAAGTTACATCACTGTGATGTGGTACTTACAGGATATACAGGTACTTATGTCTTGCATAGTATGTTACTTCCATGTACTTTGAAATGGGTACATCCTACTCTTCTAGGGAGCAGGCTGTCAAGGATCATGAAGGTGATCTTGCAGACGGAGTGTGCCTGCACTCCACTAGCTCTGTAATGGAGATGTATATTCTTGTTTTTTTCGTAATCCAAGTCTGATCAATTTGGTTTTATTGTAAAAAATAGAGGGTGATGGACAGATCTGTCTTTTCCTGTCACCCACCGTTCTGCTTCAGAACCAGTTTAAGGGTCTTTCACTCATGTACTGTGCCAGATACTGATTTGTTGTCAACCATATCCTGTAGCAAGACATTACTACCCTTTCTTCCCCCAGCGCTGATTTAAACCAAATGGTTACACAGATCTGATGTAGACCACACAAACCATTGAATAAGCTCAGCTGGTGAAATAGAAAACTCCAAAGTCAGACAGGAAGCTTCAGAAACAATTTAAAAGCATCAGTTTGAAAGGCTTCCTAATGTGAGACTGCACTTGTAAAAACCACAAGCTCTCTTGGAAAATCAATGAGTTTGTGCTTCTGTATCTCAGAGCTATTCAAAGTGCTAGCATGGTGCAGGCTTCTTTTCCCCTGGGATAGTGGAAACAGCCCATGAAGTGTTGCACAAATGCAGTGGGAATAGGAACATTAGCAGAACGTATGCCTGTTTTTTAAACTGGGGCTAATATTCAGCAGCTTCTGGTGCATTGATTGCTAGAAGGCTCTCGCCCAGGTCTTGAATGTGAACATCTCCTGGGCACTGATGACTTGTGAGAATCACTGTGGTCCTTAAAATATACCAGAAAACATTTACAGGGAGCTCAGACAGAAGTCCTAGAATCACACATCCAAAAGGAGAGAATCAGTTCCTTATTCATGTTCTATATTGTGTGTTGGGGAACAGATCCATATTCTGAATTTCTGCTTCCTGAAAAGCATGTCCCCATTTTTGTCCTTTACTAAAGTACCTTTAGTGCATCCTTTCTGAGTAGTGCAGCCCAACATCTCTTCAGGGAATGCACTGTCATAACATTATGCCTCTTTGTGAGATAATGTCACAAGAAGTCACCAGGATGGACCTCTGTTCATCCGCTGCATTCAGACGCATGATGCATCTGAGGAAGAGGAACTGTACAAACAAGCCTTGAATATTTTTTTGTTTCTTGACCGCATTCATGTTGGATTTTTTTAGTATGTAAAACAAAAATGTTTAGCATATGCTATTATCTGTATGTCTTTCATCTTTGTTCATTATTATCATAAGGTGCTGGATCAGGAGAACATACTTTTAGCTCATGAAATCTGTCCGTGTTGATGGAGGTGACTAGTGTAATAGATGCCACCATTTGAGAGTATGTCCCAGAATGTAACAATTACTTTTATAGGTGAAGAATTCAGGATTTGGCAAATGAAGTTCTGGCATAAACAGAAGTATTTTGGTTTGTTTCAAAGATCACAGCAGTTTAAACTCACAACAGGGTAGTTTTTTATCAAGACATTTTATCTTCTTCTGCTAACTAGATGATCTTAAGGTCCTTTCCAACCCTAACCATTCTATGATTCTGTGATTCAAATTCAGTAATACAGTACAGAATACCATGCAGCAATTGCAATGTTTTGCTGCTTACTGACCAGCTATAATGGAGACACCCTTTTGGAGAGCAGGTTTATATTGAATTTATGAGGCACTTTGTACAGTAGCTTGTCTGATCACACCTCCCTTTAAGATTACTCTGTCCATGCTCTATCAGCTTACTGTCCTTGCCAGAATTTTATATTCAATTTGCTAGCTTCTCCCTCAGCCTTATTCACATAAGCCAAACCATGTCTTAAATCAACATCATACAACAGCTGCTGTAAAAAATCTTGTCAAAAATGCTAATTTTTCCTGTTTTAGTTTTGTTTAGGTGTAATGAATGTTTAGAGAGGAAGTCCTCTTTTGTGACCCTTCAGTGTCTGTGCCCTCCTCTCTGCATTCTCTTAACCTGGTCCTACACATATTTTTGCAGTAACATAATAGAAGTGATACTCCTGCAAAGTATAGAACTTGTACTCTCCCATTTCCCAGCAACTTTAGGTGTATCATTAAGTTGTCAGCCATTTATCCTTGCCAGCCTGGGGAATTTAATTTTCTTGGTTGTGGCTATGCTGACCAGAACAATAGAACTGCTGCATCTCTGGCAATCGGCCTCTTCCACTTTCCTTTTGTTTTGTTTTACATTTTCAACACATTTTTCTACACCTTCTCTAGCCAGCTCCAAGCAGGCACCTGCTCCTTCTGTACTAAGAAATAAAAGGGGAACTTAAATAAAAGGCAAATTAATAAAAGGTATGACTATAACTAAATCCTGGAAATGAGTGGTGTTTCTGATGTACCTCACAGTCACAAATCAACAGTCCCAGTGGATATTTCTGAAACATAGCTCTGTTTTCTCTGTGCTTTCACCCATCTTCTTTTCTAAAACAGAAGTCTTCTTTTTCTAAACCTTCTTTTCTAAAGCCAGAGTCCTAGCTCATGACTGAGAAGATATCTTCCAGAGCCAACTCAGTATTTCCTGGTCAGTAATACTTTCATTGTTCTTTTAAAGCACCTTCTCCCTTCTTCATTTCTGGTTTATCCTCTCCTGCGTCCTTTTGTTTTTCCACTCTGCATATTTAGGCAAAGTAGAGCACGATCGATGAATTGAGATATTAATAAGAATTCATGAAGACGATATACACCACGCATTATTTGCCACAACTATATTTCATAATTAATTAAAATCTAACCTGTGATCTGATGGGTTGCTTGCTTTTAAAACCTTGTTTCTTGCATCCTGAGACTTGCTGTAGACACACTCACTAGCAACAGTCACCTTGTGGAATTCCACCAGGCCTCTGGTCCATAGTCTGCTGAGGACCATCTGCTCTTTTCATGTGCCTTTCTACTGATACAAAAATAATTTCCATCTGACTGCCCCCTGCTTTGCATGAATAAAAACCTTTTGGGCTGCTGCTTCTAAAGTAGATTTACCTTCAATCACCATTTATTAAATCTCTGTCCATTAAAAACCATAGCTTGCAGAAGCTGTGTGCATTAAGCCTGATTATAGAGTCAGTAGAGAAGAGGGAGGGAGACAGCAGTTTGTATCAGTGTATTGCCTTGTTTTTCTACTTGTCTAGCTGGCTGGTAACACTTGTAACAGGGTGCATACCAGGAGTCTTTTTATTTGGCTTTGATTTTGTTTTATGCATATGTCTCTCTTTTTATTTAAGCTGTAACTTAATGATTGTTGGCTCCAGGAAAAAGGCTGCTCAGACTACATGACTAA